TTCAGCTGCAATGGCCTTTTCCAGCCCTCTGCTAGAGAAAACGGAGTGTGGGAGGGCTGTGCACAGCCCTCCAGATCTCCATTTTCACTGGCAGAGGATTGCAGGAGGCCGTTTCAGCCAAAAACGGAACTTGGAAGGGCTGCATACAGCCCTCCCAATCTTCATTTTTGCTGTCAGAGGCATCGCAGGCCGGTCCTTCACTGTTTCCAGGGTGGGCCATGGGCCAGATCCAGGCACCCTGTGGGCTGGATCTGGCCCACAGGCCTTGAGTTTGACACTCCTGCTATGATATCTATATTAATATATATCTATGATATATATTAATTAAGGATCAAAAACAGAATAGAATACTGCATAGGAATGTTTAGATATTGAAACGTGATATTAAGGAAGGTTAATTATTGTTAAATATTGAGATATACAATTATTTATACCATTGATATTGCTGATAAAGTAGAAGTAAAGTAGAATTATATGCAATTGTGGGCAAGGATAAATAGGGGGATAAAAATGGCAACTTCAGTAAAGTTAGTGAAAAAAACTACACCCAATATGATTTCAGCAACAATCCCCTCCTCAAATCAAAGATCAATTGAGAGTGCATTGGGGCTGGAGCAAGGTGGAACGATGGCAGGAACAACGGGAACAGCACCAACAATGCAGAGTATGCAATTGATGCTCCAGATGATACAAGAGACATTGACGAAAAGCCAAGAAGTGACAATTACAAATCATGAAGAGACAAGGAGGAATCATGAAGAAATGAAAAATGAAATGGGAGAATTGAAAGGAACTATCAAAAATGTGGATGACAAAATTGAAAGGATACAGAATGCCTTAGCAATCAATGAACAGAAAATCCAGAACATCGAAATAAAAATAGAACAAACAGATCAGAAGATGGAAAAAGTGGAGCTCGAATATAAACAAGTTAATAAAGAATTAGAGCTATCAATAATCCGACTTGAAAATGAAAGACCTGCATTCTACCTATACCTCTTCCATACCGGAAGAGAAGGAGGAAGACCTGAAAGGAAAAATGATTGAAATCTTCACTGAAATTTTACAGAGAAAAGAACAAGACTTGAGAGGGGACATCGATGAAGCTTACCATGTGCATACTAATTATGCCAGAAGACATAGACTCCCAAAAGAAGTGCACGTAAGATTTGCTAAAAAAAATGACGAGAGATGAAGTTTTCAAAAAAACCAGAGAAGGGACGATTACATTAAAAAAATGACACCCCTGTTATATAGCATACTGCAAAACGACTGTTTGGGAAAAGAGAGACTTGTATTTGAATGAAATGTATAGTTGCAACTTGTATCCATTATTTCTGGTTTTAGTTTTTGTGGCATTGGAAAATAGCTCTTGACCATCTTCTTTATGATTCCCTTTAATGTATCTGAACATGGCTATCAGGACTCCTCTAAGTCCTTGTTGGTGTTGTTTTTCCTAGGCTGAAAAATAAAATTCATTTACCTTGCCTTCACTTTCTTGCACCATCTTTTGAATTACTGTGTCAGCATGCTTCTAGAAATGTGTTACCCGTAATTGCATGTAAATATGTGGGCATAAATGTAATACAAACATAAGAGAGCAATTAAAATGTCTATGGGGATGTGTTGTTTACAACTGCCAATATAGCATTTTGTGCTACAAAGGCTGTATACACACCCCATCATAATATTCCTGCAAATAGCAAATACAATTTTCTGATGCCATTTGAGAAGTCCATCACTGTGACACAAGCCAAACATTTGCAGGTTTTTTCCTTCCCTTTCAGGAACTATCCCTTCTTGGGTGAGATTTGCAAAAAGAAGGCGTTCTTGGGCTTTGCTGGACTCTGGGGAGTGATGTCTTTGTTTGTTCTTAATTGTTCCATCACAAGTCTGTGACAACATTACAACAACTTTCACCAAGTGGTTAGAGATAGGCAGAGATAATCTGTCTTCCTCCTCGTCCTTGAAAATATTTATAAAATCTGACAGGGAGAACAATGAATCAATGAACAGCTTACCTCCTGGAGTTGGGAGTGCTCTGTTGCTGGAGGTTTTCAAGAACAAATTGGACAACGGTTTATCCAGGATGGAAAAAGAACTCCTGTCTTGTGCAGGAAGTTGGATGAGAAGACCTCCAAGATCCCTTCCAGCCCTATGATTCTACCATCCTACTACACCTCTCCCCTTATCAGGTTGATTATTATGTGTTTGGGAGATACAGTATCTGCAAATATTCTGGAACACCACTGATCTGGAAGAGCCAAGGTGAAGGTATAGATTTTATTCTGTTTAGAACTCCCTTGAACGTTTTTGATTGTTTCATTTGATCATGAAATACTGTGTGTTGCATGTAAATGTTCATTGGTTATAGCCAAATTCATTAAACATCCCAGTTCTTCAGTCAGAGGCCTGTGTTCGAATCTCTGATAGAACCAACTCAAAGTTGCTAAGATGATGGTTGAATGTGTCTGTTGATCATGAATCGTCACTTTATATTAGACACATTTCATGACAAGCCCTGATAATAGTCCTAGAAATAAGGAAGACATTTGTTTAATTTGTATTGATTTGTGAAATATTCATCCCCAATTAAGGAATGCAACTACATAATGAAATCTAAAAAACTGTGGTTTCTAATTATGCCCATACATAGACAAGCATGTTTATATAAATATGGATTTTAAGGGGAAACTGTATAGGAATATATATATATATATATATATATATATATA